GCTTACGAGGAAACTTTTTCCACGGCTTTACGAGGAAATCTTTCCTCGTAAATTAGCTAGGCCTTTACGAGGAAAATAGCCTTTACGATGAACGTCTTTCGACGAAACACGTTTCCTCGCTATTTCCTAGTAAAGGGCCCTTTACTAGGAAATAACGAGGAAAACCCGTCCTAGTAAAGGACGTGTTTTCTTGTAGTGTTCAACCAAATTTGGTGATTTAAATGACAATTTTCCCAAAAAAAACACACTATTTAGTGTCTTTTTGATAAAATTATATATATATATATATATATATATATATATATATATATATATATATATGTTTCAGTATTTAATTTGGTTTCTTTGCGTTAGCTGAGGGTTATTTGGATGTTTTCATGATGGAATCAAATGTTTCGAATGGTGGTATCAGTCAATTAATTAATCTGATTTGTATTTTATGTTTGTTTTGGTTGCGTTTAGTTTATTTATTTATTGATGTCCTCTTGTTAGAGGACAAAAATGTTGAGTTATATAGACTGTCGTTTTATGCGTGGATCAGCCATTATTCATGGTGATCTTGAAATGTTGAGAGGATAGAAGAACGTATACTGAATTATTGAATCAGGTTGGAGTCTCATCAGGCCCATCCTTACTTTAAAGCAGGTAAAGCAACAGCACCAGCCCAAACAATAAATCAATAAATTTTAGACCACATTTTCAAATTAATTGCATCCCTCTGTTCGAACCCTGCCACAAGTATCATTAATATAATTTTTTTTGGCAGGTGTTAAATGTAACTAAGGGCCACATTGTTACATAAAAGACCACATTATTTTAAGATGCTTTAAGCCTCAAAAATAATCAGCACGGCACTGACATTAGGGTAATTGCATTGACATATTCATTCAAATTGGTCTTTTGTTTCACTTTACAGGTCCCTAGAGGAGCCATAGTGCCATATGCAGTGGCGGATCTACCTGTTTGGTAGGGGTGTAAACTAACACACATTAAAAAATATATATGTGGTTGTTTCAGCTAGTACAATTGAAATTTGACAGTTATGGTGGTGATTTCACTGAAGATGATACCCCAAAACTTCTAAACCTGAGTTCAAACCTTACTAAACCTTACTAAACCTTACTAAACCTTACAAGATTTAGAAGCCCGTTAATTTTGACACTCCTCAATCTAGATCCTAGATCCGCCACTGACCATATGGACTTTGAGCTACTTGAGATTCCAACAATTTCACATGTGTACCAAGGGTATCAAACTCTCTTTTCATATCAGTTGAGAGCTTCAAATTTCCCATTACGATTATTGTACATGTTACTTAATTTCATATTGATGTTGATTGCATTCTCTGCTGACCTTTCAGCATATGTTGCATCATCTACTTGGACTTACGATCCTAAGAAGACTACGCTGAGGAGGAGTTTCCTTAAGCTTGAGAACCACCACTACCAAAATTGTTACCTTCATTCTGACCTTTAATTAATCTGATATCCTTATTTGTAAACACTATGATTATGCGCTAAAACTGAGTTTTCTTATTGCATGTAGGCGGAAAAAGCCTAATCTTGTGAGTTCTCCACAATTTTTCTTATGTAAGACAAATTCAGGTGTATTATGTAATTATGATAAGTAAAAAACTATGTGCTAAAAGTTAGTTTGGCTCTTAATATATATAGTACACATCAACCTAAAACTCATCTGAACCATCCACATGGAATTCTTGATACATCTTTCCTTCGCCAACAGAATGCACATGTGGTCTTTCTTCATCAACAACTCCAACGTTGCAGTCAATTCATCGATTCTCAGTATTTGATCCTGAAACTTTCCGGGAGAGATCATACTATGACAGGCACTTAGACCATTTCCAATGGTTCAGTCTATTTTTCCTTCAATATAGAGTAACTTTGTAATAGAGTTTTGCTTTGTTCCAATAGTACTCTATTTTAGAGTGGAAAATAAAGTGATGAAAAAATTAGATTACTCTATATATAGAGTAAATCTAATAAATCCAATGTTTACTCTATTATATAGTAGAAATTGAATGGAATTGGAGCATTTATACTATAAACTCTATTATAGAGTGAAAATATAGTGGAGTTAGAGATACATGTAGCTTGACTAGCTTCTAGATTGTTGAATGCGCGCGGGACCCCAAGAGCATACACCCATCTATGATCTAACTCCACATGAGAAAGTTGGTAGCATTGAGTTTTGTCACGTTTTTTCATAGTGACACTGATAAGGCCACGCGAAATCGGAAACAACAGTTTCGTGAGATGTGGCTGGTGAACTTGTCATATTAAAAGGAAGACAATTTTGATAAAGAAAAAATGGCGGCCACAATCTTTATGGTTATAGGCAGTGGCGGAGGTAGCTTATTGCGAGGGGGGTCATATGACCCGTGTGGAATTTTATAAAAAGAAAATTTTAGTTACATTTTGAAGATAAAAACTGAGAAAATGTTACAAAGTTAGCTTATTGACCCACATGTTATACGTTTATTATATAATTGACCCTCCTAAAATTTTCAGCTGGCTCCGCCACTGGTTATAGGTACCGCTTAAGCTCTGATTTTCTATAGGAAGAGGCTGGAATATTCCATTATATCACTTGATTACAATATAATATACCATACATACACGTGATTAGGTTTAATATTTAGTGTTTTATCCTTTCCATAACTATATTCTACATATAAATGCACCAATTTGGCTTATATTAGAGTTTGTTCTTGGAGTTTTTCCTGTGAAGACAAGAGTACAAGACCATCTGTTAATGTTAGATATACAAAGAAAGTAAAGAGGAGTGTATATGTATTTCGTAGCGTAGTACCTCTGTAACAAACAAGGCGTGGAAGCCATATGGGACCCTGTGTGGCAGCTCCACCACTGCCACTGGCTCGGAGGACATTGTTTTTGCGTCTATCACATTCACACACGATTTTCTGCCAATATTCAATCATCATCATATTAACTAACCGTAAAGATGCAAAAATAAAACAAATGAAAACTCATAAGGAAGTAGCAGGGAGAGAAATAACTAGTACCCTGTGTTTTCATCGTGAACAAAAAATATCAAGTAACCATCGTCTTCTTCTGCTGTCTCCCGCGGGACATATATAGGGTCCGAACCATATATGCCTTGTCCCAGCTTATATATTCCTTGGATATTGCCTCCTACTTGCAACGTCGTTTTGCCTTTCTCAGCTTCCGCATGCAGATCAAACTTGATAATTCCTGTAACCTTTGAAATGCCGTCCAGAAATGTTCCGATACCATATACATATCTTTGTTTCCTTAATACACCAGACATAAACAAAAATAAAGATAAGTTTTTCCGCTCATGTGAAACACTAAAGGGGAAATGTGAAATCATACTTTCCAGTGTAGCAGTCGTTGATTCTGGGAAAATCAACTGAAGATGCTGATAGTTTCTTCTGAGAAGCTGAGCCCGTTTTCATGTTGAATCTCATTTCATACCTACACAAGCAACAGTTGAGGAGGGTGTGTCTGGTTTACGAGAGAGAAGACGAGATGTATCAGGTAGGGCTTCTTACAATTCGTTGCTAAAAGTTCTAAGTACTTCTTCCTCATTCCCGCTGACCATATCAAGATTTGGATTCTCAAGGCGACAAGTGATGAGGACAACCTCTTCCTCTTCTTCCCAAGCATTGGCTGATGTAGGGAGCGATTCACCGGAGTTAAGTTGGTACATATATAGAACATTAATGTTTGATGGTATGAACACATCGTTGTGGAATATAACATACCGTTGTGGAATATAAAGCAGTTGGGAAGCTCAAACCATCTAATCATGAGGTCATCCTTAGCATAGCGTGGAAGAACACCGAAACGAGCCTTTTTTGTAGGATCAAATGAGTATAGCATTTTCTTTTCTTTCACCATTTCCTTAGAATAAATTTCAAAGACACAAGAACGCATGTATAAGCAATTTTTATGATTCTTATAATCATCTTCTCTTGCACACCATTTAAACAAAACTATAAGGGAAGCAAATATCTCTTATTGGTGTAACCTTTAAACTTGATGAGTACCTTTGGCCTGAAGTGCATAGGAAGATCCATGAAAATTGAGTAATTCTCAGTAATAGCAAAATCATGCATCATGATTGGCTCTGAGATAGTAATTGGGACAGGATCATGCATAATACCATCTTTCGACACCACTCTATATATGAGATAAGGTGGCATATGCGAATAGCCAAATGTAAACATTTCTCCTGGATAGAGACATACCCATCATGAGTCAACAGAAATAGTAGCTCTCGTCTCTCACCAGAACCTAAAGACTTACCCGTATCAGGGTCAACTTTTGGGTGGGCAGTGAAGGAGTGTGTCAATCTCTTGTCATAATCTATCATGCCAAGAGTTTGCAGGTCTCCATCTTCCAAAACTTTGATGACATCTATAAAACCAAAAAAGAATGACATTTTTGGATGCTTATCCACATCTACAGAAATGTGCCTTTTTATATATTACACAAAATAATGAGTAAATAATAAAAACATGCATCAAAACTACATGAAAGCAGCTTGAGAATTCATAAACAGTTTGTAACGGGAAAAATGCAGTTTTTTGCTTTAAAAGTTTTATTCACACAAGTCTTTTTTTTTTTTTGTCATTGAATATAATACGCAAAGAGTTTTACCCGAAATGGGTATGTAACAAACACCGACATGGAAGAAAACAAATTGGAAACCAATAGGCCCCTGAGACAAACCCCAAACAGTTGAGGAAAATGAGAGAAACAAAGCAGGCCTTCAGCATCAGATATTCACACAAGTCTAATCTATTAACTGAAGCCATAAATTATTATACCAAAAAAAAAATCATTCAAAATTTGTGACCACTTTAGACCATCCCAAAAGGAAAAAAAAATCAGAGAGGGCTTACAAGGCTTATCTGTCTCCTGTAATGCTAGAAGTTGTCCATGGTGATATACGAGGGCTGTATTAGCTGGTGCACGGAAAAAGAAAGTGAGGTTTTAATTGGAGATAAAATATAAAGGATGACGTAACCAACCAGTTCCATTTCCATAAGAGTCGTCCAATACTTTCAGTTTAGTTCTCAGATGTTGCATATTGGCCATAAGCAATCCGAAAATCCCTTTAAGGTCCCCAATCTGCAAAATTTACAAGGAAAAAACAAAACAAAAATTATTGGCCCATGCAGCGCCGGACAAGAGACGTGACCGCTCGAGATTCAACTTGTTTTTTTTTTATTTTATTTTTTAATTTTGAATTATACAGGGATGACACCCACTGAAATGGATCCTGTGTCAGGACATGACAAAAAATTAATTTTCCAAGGTACTCATTTCACCATATTAAACCATTAATATAGGATTTTTAGGATAGGGTTTTTAACTGAAATTAAGAAAATGTTTCTTAAATTTTAACTAAAAAAGCTCAGAATTAGTTCTAAAAGTCCTCATAAAAACCAGTTTTTAACGTTTTTAGTTAAAAATTCTTAACTTCTGATAAAAACTCTATTCTAAAAATCCTGAATTAATCATGCTTTTAGGTTTTTACCCTCAAGTTAATGATCATTGGACTACAAACTCGAGTTAACATGATGTTTTCTTGTATCTTAATATACTAGGATAAGACCTGCGCTTTGCGCATGGTGAATATATATAATTAAAATATAAAATTTTAGTGTTGACAAATTTAAAATTTACATATAATTATTTTTGTATGTATTTGAAATTTCAGAATTTGAAAATTTTATATAATTATCTATACGTAGGATCAGAAACAATTTTAGTTAGAAATGTAGAACAAATCTTAAAATTTAATGGATCTGATTTCATATATCTTTTTCCCTTTTCAGTGTTCGAGTGATGGAAAATAAATGGAGTGTCACTGGGCTTGATTGGCAGAGTATTAAGAAATTCCCTAATGTTTTTTAAGAAGCAATTGGTAAAATATTTGCATTTAAAATATATAAAGTTTCAAAACTAATTTAATATAATTTATTTATCTTTCTAATAATATTAGAAAATTCTATTTTTTACAAATTATTGTTTTTTTAAATAATTTATAAAAAATCATGTTAAATTTTAAATTATTTTAAAAAACAATATATTAAGTTTTTTAAATACAAATAAACAATTTAAAATTAATTATGGTCATGATTTAACATAACCATAATGATATAAAAAATTAACAAATTAAAAATTAACTCAGTTTTATATCATGATTTAACAATTTAAAAATTAGTTATGGTTTTGAGAAGTTTACGTTCACGTGTCAATCCTATTTATCTTCCATTTTTCTCTTGCTATGTTTTTTTTTTATATTTTGGTTATTACTGGATATAAATATTTATTTTGAATTTTATTCTCAATTCGTTTGTTTTAGAAAATACTTAAGATTTAAAATAATTAAAGAGATACATACTTAGGTTAAGATCTGCACTTTATGCACAATAAATATTTTATATTTATTATTTATTTTATATCTTTCTGCATATTATAAATAATAAAATAATAAATATATATTAAATAACTAAGAAATTAGTTACTATTATGTAATAAATTGGCGTATGCATATAAAATTAACTATTACTCTTGTTTATTCACAATTAGGGTAAATATATCAAAATAATCAATCTTATATACTGTATATGATATATAATTAAATTTAAATGATATAAACATAGTAATATAACACACTTTTAATATGGATATTTATTAAATGAGGTTTCTACTCATATGATTTTATGATTATTTGCATATTTGTGTAACAAAACTTTACACCAACGATTTTTTTTTTTTAATTTGAGATGTTTAGTAGTTTCAATAATTTATAATCATTTTTAAAAAACAATGACATATTTCAAAATTAAAATATTAAGTTTTCAATATATGTTCAAGATAAATATCAAAATATAAATATGTATTTTCATACGATGTATAGTTTAATTAAAATGATATTAAATATATATAAACTAAAATTATTTCTTCATATGGTCTTATAATCATTATATTTTAGTATAGAAAACAAATTAAAACCTTGATCTTAAAATTTATGTGGGACTTTTAACAGTTTTAGTAATTTATACTCATTTTGAAAAATTCGAAATACAACATACACAAAAAAATCTAGATTTTTATTATATGATTAATGTAATTGTGTAATTTATTTTAATAATAAATAAATAAACAAAATGAAAAAAAAGTATACAGATTATTATCAAATCTTTATTGTTTAAAATCATTAATTGTCATATATATATTTTGATCACATTAGGTAATTCCGTAGGTTTTATTTAAGGAAAACATGCGAAACAATAAATATTTGATATATGCGACCAACTATAGCATACAGAATATTATATTGCTAGAGAATATAATTTTTAAACTATACATTATATCACATGCTCTAGAATCCTTAGGATTTGAAATAGAAGCCAAAGAGCTATGCCACGTATGATTGGAGTTATTTTTAATTCTTACAAACTTAAGGTTACAATTTTTTAAATGATTCTCAAATAATATATAGGGGATATATATATATATATATCTTATATTAGTTTAAAAAATAAAATTAATTAAAAACCCAAAGTATTTGTTATATTTTTTACTATAAAATTACAAGATATTACTTAAAATAAAAAATAATAAGAATTTTAAAATATAAATATTACGGTTCAAAAATTATTTTTTCCTTGCGCATTAAATGTTGAATTGGTCGTGACCACAATACAAAATGGAATTTATAGAAGACAAACACTTTTGTATATATTTACAAGCTCACCTTCATCAATTTGGCAGCTCCAAAAAACTCTTCCTGCTTGAGACGTGATGTCTTGACGTACCGAGAAACATAAGTTGCTTTACTATCTTTGATGCGTACCCCATGTATCATTCTACGAAGTTATATGAGACATAGAGACGAATAATATAATTTTTTTCTTGAACAACCAAAGAAGATTAATATACGAGAAATAATTTAGAGGCCAAGGTAAAAAGAGAGTAAATTTGGTTCTTTAATATAAAAGAAATTTTATTTTAGGTTTCGAATCGTTTTAAAATAAAAAAATATTTAGCCAAAAAAGACTATGGAAACAAATTTTATATGTTTGACAAAAAAGGAAATGAATAATATATATCTTGCCTAAAACTCTCAGTTTGTATTGTTCCATCTTATAATTGAAAAACAATTATGACGAAAAGGAAATAAATAATATATATCTTGCCTAAAACTCTCAGTTTGTATCGTTCACATCTTATTGAATTGAAAAACAATTATGGCCACATTTTCATGAAACAAGGGACAAGCCCCCGTCGTTGAGCCAAGAGAGTAGAGATTGATAAAAAGTGAAGGTGAAGGCATAGGCATCCCCTAGGTTTCGTGAGATACTTAAGGGGAATAGACATGTAACAGGGAACGGTTAACGTACCCATCTCCATCAAACCTGGAAAGAGAGGGAAATATATATTATAAATTTATAAGTAAAAGGCCGTCAATCCCATGATAAATGTCGAATTTAGAAAAAAATAAGATGGAAGAAGAGCACGTGCCAGAGATATCCAGCGACAGGATCAAACTTGGGATTTGGACCAACTCTCAGAAATTCACCATTCAAGCACTCCTGATAATGAACAAAAGATGATCAGAAACCCTGAAACCACGGGAAAGAAATGACAGAGCTGGTGGAGCTCGCTCACGGGAAGAAGTCCATGGACGAGGAGATCCTTGACCGGAGGAGTTTCATCTCGGAGGGGAGCGAAGTTGCCAGAGAGGTAGTTGAGAGGGAGTGAAGTATCGTGCATAAACTTGACCACGAGTGCCTCAAGAAGATCGATAAGCTTAGAGGAGAAACCCTTGGAGGGTTTAGGGTTGACAGAGAGTATGCCATCATCACCGAGCTTCTCCGCCATGAAAGTTTGATCAGAAACTGAATTGAGAAGCGAGCATCTCCAGCGTGAAGTGGGAGAAAAATGCTGCGGAGCCCACGGACGATGGTTGCTAAGCTGATTCTGAGGGTAAGTGTTGTTCTGATAATGTTTGGTTGCAGTGATAGAGAAATGTGGCCACGTTGGAAGCAAGAGAAGTCTATGGTGTAATGTAGAGGTGTGTCTAATCGAAGCGCCTCTGAGGGTGGACTGCTGCGAAAGAGAGAGCATGTTGAAGAAGATGATTGACATTGAGTATTTGGACAACTAAACTGGGATGTTGGAGAGATATATATAGAAGAAACGGGGAGAAAATGCTATTTTATAAGAATAATATTTGTTACTCTTTTTATTTGATTTTTTATTTATACTCTTCATCACCTTTAGGTTTTATCAAATGCAGTTAATAAAATAAATGCTTCTGTTTTACAATGTTGTAAGTAGTTTTCGTATTTTTCCCATAAACGCGTATAAAACTTTGGTGATAGTTTGTGCTAATCAATTATTATTATTATTTTTTCGTTTATGCTTTGTTTCCGGGGGCGGACGGACGTTGCCGGGTACGGGGTCACGTGACACCTACTCTTTTTAAAAATTTCTTAAGTAATATGAGTTAATTTGATTGAATTGTTCATAGTTTAGTGAAGAAATAGGTATAGTACTCCCAATTCAGAATTTCTTTTGTTATATTTAACATTGTGACTCCAGCTAAAAGTGTTTCTATATCAAAAAGTACTCTTCATTCAGAATGTATATTGTTATTTTTAACAATGTGACCCCAGCTAAAAATGTTTCTACATCCGCCCCTGTTTGTTTCCATCTAGTTCATTGCTTTATTGTGTATACTAATATCTTTAATAATAAACTTGGGTTTTTATCTCTCCTTGGAGAGAAATAAAACACGTGGTATTTAGTTAAACGACAACGTCTAATTTTGTGAACCTGTATGGGCTGTGTTTTGTCTCATCTTGTGGTTGAGCTTTTAAACTTATTATCAAATCCAGTAAAATATTAGGGTATCTTCTTCGTCTTCTCACCTTCATAGGAGTAGCTGTTTTTCCCAGAAAACTAAAGCTTACATCGAGTCACCATAATGAATCTACATTCCATTAAAACATCCTTAAATCCGAGCTTTAACGTGAACTACAGTCCTCTTTCTCTGTTCCGATTTCAAACCAGGTTTTTTGCTATTCTTTTCATCCCCTCATGCCAAATTCTCAGAGAAAGACGGTGAACTCATGGACGTTGATATGCTCCTCCTTGATGCAAAGGTGATTCCGGCGCAAAACTCATAACCATCAAACTATTTCATGAAAACTTTGAGTTGAGATGATTTTGCTTTCATTTGTTGATTTAGAAAGCTTGAGTTGAGATTATTAGATGAGATAACTATCTGCGTATAGTTAAGATATTATTCTCCTATATTCCCGATAGTACTAGAGGATATTCTATAACCTCTCAACAACTTTGTACTATATATTGTGATGAATATACAACGTAGATTTCAAGGCAAACATAATCACTTTCATGGTTTCAGAGGGTTCAAGCGATCCTGAACCATTATAACGCAATCCTTCGCGTATCTCTTTTTCTCTTCTACTTCTTCTTTCTTTCTTCCTCCTCCAACATCGTTACCATAGCTGCTGCTGCTCCAAAAAACCGTGACGGGGTCTATGGCGTGACCAACATCAAGCATCACATCCCTATCATCCTTGATATCGATGAGAGCAGCTATGATGCGTGGAGAGAACTCATCTTCACCCACTGTCAAAGCTTTGACGTTTTCGGGCATCTTGATGGCACCTTACTCCCCACAGACGACAACGACACTGCCTGGAAGAAACGAGATGGTCTCGTCAAGCTCTGGCTATACGGGACTCTATCCAAAGATCTCTTCAAGATAACGTTCAAAACTGGTGGTACTTCCCGAGAGGTCTGGATCCGTCTGGAGACTTACTTCCGCGACAACAAAGAGGCACGGGCCATCCAGCTCGACCACAAGCTTCGGACAAAGGAAATTGGTGATCTCACGATTCAGGCTTACTGCCAGGAAATCAAAACCATTGCTGACCTTCTGTCTAATGTTGATGCCCCTGTGAATGAAAGAACGATGGTCACTTATCTCCTCAACGGTCTTAACAGCAAATACGACAACATCATCAACGTCATCAAGCATAGACAGCCATTCCCAACCTTCGAGGAAACAAGGTCTATGCTCCTCCTTGAAGAAGATCGCCTTGGCAAAGGGAAGAAACCGAACCCAACTCACACTGACTCCGCTTCTTCACCAAAGGTGCTTGTTGCAACAGAAAACTCCGTGCCTCAGAAATCTGATCAATCCAAAAACCATCAGCAACAAAGGTTCAATCAAAACAGAGGACATAGAGGAAGAGGTGGAAATCGCGGCAGAGGCCGAGGCAACTACAACCAACAGCGACCTCAGTTCAACCAGTGGAGTGCTCCGTTCTGGCAAAGCGGCTATCCGATGTGGGCTCCTCCTCAGTTCAATCCGTGGCAGCAACTTCCATTCCCACAAGCAGGCTTGCTCGGTCCAAGACCTCAACTCATACAACAACAAACCGTTGGGAACCAGAAGCTCGAGCCAACAGTGGACTTTGCGCAGGCGTTCAACACTCTCACCCTCATGAATCCCGCGGACAAAAATTGGTACATGGACTCCGGTGAAACGTCTCACTTGTCAAACACGGCAGGTAATCTTAAGTCTGTTTTTACAAATAGCATCGGAAATACGGTAACGGTTGCCAATGGAGGTAAAATTCCGATTACCACATCTGGCCGTCTCTCTTTTCTTACTAAATATCGCCCTCTCTCTCTAAATAATGTTCTTGTTACGCCTTCTATCATCAAGAACTTGATTCTGTTCGTCGTTTCACTAAAGATAATTCATGTTCTGTTGAGTTTGATCCTTTTGGTTTTACTGTGAAGGATCTTCATACAAAGAAGAGGATTCTCCGCAGTGATAGTACATGAGACCTCTATCCCATTTTACCTTCTTCAAATAATGCAGCTCCTGTCTCTGCTTTTTCAGCTACAATCACCGACTGGCATCAACGTCTGGCACATCCCAGTGACCAAACGTTCAAATTTCTTCTTTCTAATAATGCTTTTTCATGTAATAATCGTGATACTAATCACATTTGTTCTGCTTGCCAGTTTGGAAAACAAATAAAGCTGCCTTTTGCTCATTCAAATACTATTGTCAATCATCCTTTCAAAATTGTTCATTCCGATTTATGGATTTCACTGGTGCAAAGTGTTAGTGGTATCAACTATTACGTTATATTCCTTGATCACTACTTTTCTTTGGGTTTATCCTATGCGGTATTGATAAGGATTTTTAAGCCTTAGAGCAAATCAATGTAGTAAAGTAAGTAGAGTGTCAATCCAATCCTGAGAGCTATTGAACAAAGAGAATGCAAGACATTGCTTAATCTAAATGCAATCAATGAGGGTTTATTTTATAAGTAACTAGTAACAAGCAATATGTAAACAAGAATAACTAAGCTTTGGTTTCAATGAGATAAAAGAGCATATGGATAAGGGTATTGACTTTGGGTGATCAAGTTACTATCTAGGGTGAGGTTTCAAGCAATCATTCATATCCTATAGGTCTAGACACAATTCTAAGCTAGTCATTGGTCAAGGTAAAAGCTCATTTGCTATCAATCTTTAAACACAAATGGTCATTGGTCTAAATCAATCAAGCAATCATTGAGAACAAGTATACTAACCATCTAAGCCTTCCTAACATGAAGTATCCTTGGTTAAGCAAGCAAAAAGCATTATTACTTTGGTTCAGGCATTTCATCATACACCTTGTGGGCAGGAAATGCCTAATGATCTAGTTTAGAAGGATTAGATCTAATCTAGCATAAGGAATAAGTAATAAGCATAGGACAAGAAGGATCTAACACTAATCACCCTAGATCATCACTTAATCACCCTAACCCATAAGCTCAAAGAGAGTCTACTCACTAATCTTCATGTTTAATCTTAGGCTCATGATGGATAGAAGACTAATCATGATTAGAAGAAGAGATAGACTCAAATTACTCAAGAAACAAAGCTTATATTAATCAAGGATTCAACTTTTCAATGTGATTTTGAGAGAAAAGAAGATAAGTTGTAAACTTAGGTCTCCAATGTATTTATAGAAGCCTAAAAACAAGCATAAAAGTTGGGTCTTTTTGTTTGTAGCGACATGCTCTGGTCGCTACAACACATAGAATTTTCTGGGGATTTTCTCGTAGAGACATGCTCTGGTCGCTACAGTAGTCTCTACAGACTCTCCGCTCTCTTCCTAGCGACATGCTCTGGTCGCTACAGTTCTGGTCGCTACAATTCTGGTCGCTACAATTCTGGTCGCTACAGGGTTGATATGCCTCCAGTAGATAGATCATAACTTCTTCAATACAGCTCCAAATGACTTGAAACCACTTCCATTAGAAAGATAACTCAATTTCCCATGTCTTTCCAAAATATGAGCTTCAGAAGATATCTTTAAGGTCTCCATACATGTTCATCTTTAACACTTTTTTGGATCACAATGCTCCCAAACACCTCCATTCACTCCATGGCACACTCCAATACCTAATAAGGACATATGAATGCAATATGGACCTAAAGATGTGTAAACCTTAATCTATATGATGATTTATGTACAAAATAAAATGCTAAAACTACGCAAATATGCCTCATATCAACTCCCCGAAACTACTCATTTACTTGTCCTCAAGTAATTAATTAAGATCAAAGGAAGAGAGAAGGAAAATGGGAACTCAAAACCAAAGGATACACTTCTTATATTCAACACCACATCCTAGATAAACATAACCTATAGCATAAGCAATCTCAATTATTACACCCTATCTTCACAAAGCCTATCAAGACTCTTTCTTTTAGACAAGTTGTGGATCACCAATCAACAAATCTCTTCAACCAACCCTCACATTCAATTAAGCATAAGCTAATAAGGTGAGTTCTTGCAAACGGAAACTTGATCTCAATCATTTGGCTTGGTAAGTGAAATGGTTAAATGATAATAGAAGAGGGGTTTCAATACATTTATTTTTAGTGGCTTACACTCAAGAATAGGAGCTTGATTATTATGCAAAATCTATCTAAGAAAAGGAGCAACTTATGCATACATTGCTTGTTCTTATCAATCTACCATTTTCCTAGCATCTTTAAACTCTACCCTTTTCCTAGCATCTTTAAACTCTACCCTTTTC